ACGATTGTACATTTGAAAGATGAGATTTTTTTTGTTCGTTTGCTTTAAAGTTTTTGACTTTCGCTTTAGGGTATTGCTACAGTTGATTTTGGGGGTTTTTTTATATTCGAATTGTTGGTTTGATTTTATCTGAAAATTGAAATTGAAATGCACAAACTTGACTTTGAACCTTTGTAAGGACTTTCTCAGTGGTCTGTTTGATCATTAAAGTTGTTAACTTTGAGTTATGAATTGTCTGAAGATCCTGGGAGGGTGAGAGTTTCTGTAAGAGTTCGACCTCGAAATGGAGAAGAGCTTATCTCAGATGCTGACTTTTCTGATCTTGTTGAGTTACAACCAGAGGTGAGTTAGATGCTAATTAACTATGGCTTCTCTATTCCAAGTCTATGCTAGTCAAAATTGATGTCAAGAAAGTGTTGTTAATTTTCTATGGCAGATAAAGAGGCTGAAATTGAAGAAAAACAATTGGAATTCTGAGTCCTATAGATTTGATGAAGTCTTTACAGACACAGCTTCGCAGAAGCGTGTCTACGAAGGAGTAGCAAAACCTGTAGTCGAGGTTAGAATATCTTCTGATGCAGAACTTAGTGAGATATTGAGAATGAATATGGTTTGGTTATCGATATCCACTACATTGAATTTGCAGGGTGTTCTGAATGGATACAATGGCACCATTATGGCTTATGGTCAAACGGGCACTGGTAAAACTTACACGGTGGGAAAAATTGGTAAAGATGATGCGGCCGAGCGTGGTATTATGGTTAGAGCTCTAGAGGACATACTTGTGAACGCATCTTCTGCTTCTGCTTCTGTTTCCGTGGAGATCTCTTATTTGCAGGTGTGACATTGCATATTTCCATTGGGATTCTCTTAATTCATATTTCACTAAATACAATTGTATATATATATAGTATCACTACAATACTTAGATGATTGCCTTTTTGTTGAACATTCACAGGCATAAGACGGTATCCTTGTGAATTTTGAAATGATTCTAGAGCTTATATAAGATCCATTCCTAATAATATCTATATTACTTCTTATAATTAACAGCTATATATGGAAACTATACAAGATCTTCTTGCACCTGAGAAAAATAACATTTCGATCAATGAGGATGCAAAGACTGGGGAAGTATCAGTACCGGGAGCTACAGTAGTTCACATTCAAGACTTAGACCATTTCTTGCAGGTTTTGCAAGTCGGCGAGACAAACCGTCATGCAGCAAATACAAAGATGAATACAGAATCCTCACGTAGTCATGCAATTCTTACGGTGTGCTTCTGTAGAATATTTGGTCTATATGCTTTCTTGTTCATCAACAGAATTCATGTTTTGTGTCTGCCTATTAATGTAATGTATCTTACTTGCAGGTTCACGTTAGGCGAGCTATGAATGAAAAGGCTGAAATGGGAACTAAATCTCGAGATAAGGAAGCCAAACCTGAATCTATGGATAAAGGCATTCCTAAAGTTAGAAAGAGCAAACTTCTAATTGTCGATCTTGCTGGTTCAGAAAGAATAAATAAATCTGGTTTGAAATCCTTCGCTGTTCATATAACCATTCATGTTGTATCAAGAAGTTTATGGTTGAGTTATATCTG